GAGACCAATAGACCTTACGCACAAAGGCAAGATGTTGGACAAACTATATTTTGACACCAAAATGGGGACCCAAACACAATGGTTCCAGTACCTACAGTTGAAAAATCTCATTGAATCTCTAACAAACAATGGGGTGTTCCAGAGGGAGCTGACTCCGCTAGAAAAGACAATAAAGAACTACCCAAACTCGCCAAAGGGAATTTTATCGGTAATTTATAAAGCTATCATAGCGACAGAAGATCGAACTAAACTAAAACACCAACTTCGCTGGGAAGAAGAGCTGAACGTACAATGGCATGATTTGGACTGGGAGGGTATTTGGTCGTCCTCGGCAAACAATTCGCCGGTACACAACATATGGTTACAAACCTTTAAATTGGTGTCCAGGTGGTACCTAACTCCAAAACAACTACACAAAATGAATGCAAACAATGACCCCAGCTGTTGGAAGAAATGTGGACATGAGGGCTCATACCTACATTGCTGGTGGGACTGCCCACAAATCAAACCGTTCTGGAAAGAAGTAGTGGCAACAATCAAAAAGATAACGGCACAAGAAATCGCAAACAAACCAGAAGTTATACTCTTACAAAAATGGGATGGGTCGTTGGCAGACAATTCCAGGGAGGTTATCTCAATACTCCTAGCGACCGCCAAACTGACGATAGCGGAAGGGTGGAAATCTCCATCCCCTCCCTCTGTGACAAGGTGGCAGGATAAGCTTTGGCAACAATTCGTCATGGCCAAAATTATGGATTCAACACAAAGAACGCACCAATCAGACTCAACCGTACATAAGAGATATGTTAGATCGTGGTCACCGATACTACAGTATATGTCGAAGGAAGGAATACTCCCAAGTGACAAAAATTATCATGAGTGGCTACACATATAGGCCTATGATAGGTCAGGACCCACTAATAGGAGCAGGTGCGCTCCTTGAACAACGTTCACCGCGAATGGCAAATGTAATCAAACTTGGCTTTTGTTATTGCAGTGAGTAAATGTAAGCAGCCGTGTGTATAGAGATGTATGATGTATTATAGTACTCTGTGGATTAACTGTATAATTTAAATACCAATAAAAAAATTTAAAAAAAAAAAAAAAACTGACTGCTTTCTGAGCCCAATCAGGAAATACATGAAGTTAAATACTTAATATGACATCATCATATCATCATCATGGGAATAATATTCAAAAGGCATAATTGGTTACAAAAACTTAAAAAACATTTACATAATTATTGGTCAAATGTAAGAAAGGTGTGCCTATGCAATAGCGTCACATATTTACTTGACATCACCTAAGTCATATCGGCCAAAGCTTGTTCTCACCCAAACAAAGGTGTTTTTCTCTGATACCAAGTAAAAGATCCTTTCTGACCCAGACACTATGCAGCTATAATCTAAACAATTAGAACCATGAACCTTACACCTTCTTTAGTACCAAAAGAATGTTACTGTCTTGTCTGTTAACATCAACTGGAAAAATCTCCTGACCCACAAAGAAGAGAGGCTTTCTATATACCAGGCCTCCATTACATTCCAATAAAATGTTAGGTCTATACTGATCCTATAAAAACCAGAGAAATATGAGTAATCAAAGAAAGGAAAATCTATATAGTCCCATCTCTACTACAATAAGTAAATCCATCTTACCCTATATAGGAATTTCACATTAAATGTTACCTTCCAGTTGACACAGTCATTGATTCTAAAAATACATTAACAATAGTCACTAGAATATTCATTGTTGGACCCACACCTATTTAGGATTTCCCCTGTAATATACTTACTACTTTACTGTTAAATCTACTTGGGCAAGATTCCTTTCTCTATTAGCCAACTGTTGCTAGTTTTCGAGGCCTGCAGATGGAATAGGAATCTCCCTGCAGCCTCGCAGATTGATTGCCCTGGTCTCCAGCAGCTGGTTGTCACAAGCATGTTTGGGTGTGTTGTACATATTAGATTCCATGTCAAAAAATGAAGTCAAATGAGGAGGAAGATCAATGTTTTTTTCCATTAACAGAAAAACAATTGGACCAAATAGTCCATCCAAAATTGACTACTTTCTTCTCAGCATATTCAGGAAATATACTTCAATTAACAGGAAAACAATTAGACCAAATAGTTAATCAAAAATTGACAACTTTCTTCTTTTTCTTCTTCATCTTCTTCTTGAACCTATTCTGAACATATTCAGGAAATACACAATATTTTATACATGGATTGACATCATCAAGAAAACAATATTCAAACAGCATAATTGGTTACAAAAGACAGTGGTAATTTGAGTAATAATCCTCTGATTGGCCTTAACCGAACCTAAATGATAATGGGCAAGGATTCTTCATATCCCAAACAAAAGTATTCATTACTGATACAAGACTAAAATCTTCTCTGACCCAGACATTGAAAGGTTTGCCCTAAGAACGACAGAATCATGAACTTTGTACCCATTATGTTGTCTGCTAACAATATCAGTCCTACAAGAGGAAAGCCTTCTATATAACAGGCCTTTCTAACATCCTAATAAAATATTACTTAAAGAATAAATCTATACAAACCAGAGAAATATGAATATGAACAATAAAAAAACCTATATATAAAAATCTTTATATTCCCATTCATACTACAGGTGTGCTTTTTGTCGCCCTCAGATTAAGCAGCTGTGACTGGCATTCTCAGAGGTGTAACACAGAAAGATGGAGGACTCTCTGTGTCAGTGTGAGAATGTCTCCCATCTTTCTGTGCCAAACTAGCCTGGAGAAAAACTGCTTCCTGATGCCAAACTGGTGTTCAGCATTTCTCTGAATATATTAGGAAGACCCTTCCTGCCATCCCTTCTCATGATCTGCCTAAGTTCACAGAACCAGCCTTGCAGTTAGATGGCCATCTAGCCTCTGTTTAAAAATTTCCAAAGAAGGAGAGCCCACTATCTCCTGCAGGCACAAAAGGGTTTCCGCCCTTTGTGAGTTATCTGATGCTGTTGAAGACTGCCACACTTACTGAATTTCTTTCCACACTCTGAGCATTCAAAAGGTTTTCCCCCTGTGTGGGTTCTTTGGTGTTTCTGAAGAATACCTCTCTCACTGAATCTCTTTCCACACTCTGAGCACTCAAAGGGTTTCTCCCCTGTGTGGATTCTGTGATGATACTGAAGATGGCCATTCTGACTGAATCTCTTTCCACACTCTAAGCATTCAAAAGGCTTCTCCCCTGTGTGGGTTCTTTGGTGTTTCTGAAGAATACCTCTCTCACTGAATCTCTTTCCACACTCCGAACATTCAAAAGGTTTTCCCCCTGTGTGGGTTCTTTGATGCTGTTGAAGAGTGCAACTTCTGCTGAATCTCTTTCTACACTCTGAGCATTCAAAAGGTTTCTCCCCGGTGTGGATTCTTTTATGCCGTTGAAGAGTGCCACTGTGACTGAATCTTTTTCCACACTCAGAGCATTCAAAGGGTTTCTCCCCTGTGTGGGTTCTTTGGTGCAGTTGAAGAGTGCCACTCTGACTGAATCTCTCTCCACAGTCTGAGCATTCAAAAGGTTTCTCCCCTGTGTGGGTTCTCTGATGCACTTGAAGACTGCTACTCATACTGAATCTCCTTCCGCACTCTGAGCATTCAAAAGGTTTCTCCTCGGTATGGGTTCTTTGATGCTGTTGAAGAGTGCAAATTCTACTGAATCTCTTTCTACACTCTGAGCATTCAAAAGGTTTCCCCCGTGTGTGGGTTCTTTGGTGTTCTTGAAGATCTCTCTTCTCAACCATATGCCCCCCTTTCTTTCTCTTAGGTCTTTGTCGATTCCTGGCGTTTTCTTTCAGGTCTTCATTTTTAACTCTTTCTGGCCTTTCCTGATGAAGTCCCTCACTCTCCTCATTCCTTTGATCGTCCTCTCCTGGAATAAACAGAGATCCTGTTAGCAACTGGAAGAGCTTGTAAGGTCCAAAGGCATATTATGTGACTGCAGGAGGAAAGGATTGATGGCCCTTTGGTCTCAAAAAGCTTCACTGATCTTAACCACCCCTCCACACCTTTCCCCAGAATATCTAGTTGTTAGGGATACAGCACACACACACCCTCAAGAGCCACAGCTGAGTTCTTGTCCAGACAGCGTTTCAAAGACTCCAGATTCCAGGCCCCCAGAAGGCCTCCCTCCCTCCTTACCCAGCAGGTTGTATGATTGTACCAAACCAAATGTTGCTCAGAAGTGAATCAGAGATCCCCCATGGCCATTAGGGATGTGCACTCGGTTCGTCTGAACCGAATGCACCCCCGAAAATGGCCTATTCGGACCCCTTTCGGGCTGCTGCAGGCCGATTCAGATTCTCTGATCTGAATCGGCTTGCCACCGAATTGCCGCCGAATTTCGGCGGCCATTCAGCCCCATTATATCCCATGGGCCATTGAAGTCAATGGCGAAAACACAGGATATATTCTGGGGGCTGGAGGGGAGGGGGTTTGAGGGAGAGGTCGAATTTTTTTTTTTTGTACACCCCTAAAGGCCATTCCTTGCTTGTTCCCTTGACATAACCATGAAGGATACTCACTCTCAGCCAGCTCATCTGGGAAGGAAATATGCTCTTGGGATCCTCCTGAGAAACTCTCCAGCCTTTCTTGAGATTCAAGGCCATTGTCTGTTTCCACCACAGTCTCTCTTATACTTCTAGCTTCTGAGAGAGAGGGGAAAGGGGGAGAGAGAGAGAGAGGAGATCATTTTTATATGGGGAAGAATAGAAATTCAGCCTAAAAATTATTCTGGAAGGAAGGAACCATGGTCAAGATCAAAGCCCAAGATCCCAACCAGTATAAAGGGAATGGATCTGTGAGCCAAAGCACCCTCGGTCCCCCAAGGGTTTAAGGTGATTATTAAGCGGCCTGGCCAGACTTGCGGGTGTTCGGTGTTTGCGTCTTCCTGCAGCTAACATCCTTATCTTTTTTAAAGCCAGAGAAAATTCCATCAAGTTGGACCCTTGATTGGGTCATTAGGAACACCTGACCGTAGAGAGGCAGAAAGTATAATACGGGTATACAGCAGACAGAAGCCAGGCTAACTTTATGCTCATGTCAAGCGACAGCAATTTGACATTTTCTTGCTTCGTCACGATGAATAGTTTTATGTAGAGTAACTTAGGCTAGGAAGCTGCGGTGGCTCAAGTGGTTAAGACGCTGAACTGCAGGCTGTGGAAGGTCAGTAGTTCAGCGGTTCAAGACCCGGGTGCCGCAAGACAGGGTGAGCTCCTGTCTCTAGTTCCAGCTCCTGCCAACCTAGCAGTTCGAAAGCAAGAAATTGCAAGTAGATAAATAGGGACCACTTCGGTGGGAAGGTAACAGCGTTCCGTGCGCCTTGGTGTTTAGTCATGCCGGCCACATGACCACGGAAACGTCTTCGGACAGCGCTGGCTCTTCGGCTTTGAAACGGAGATGAGCACCGCAACCCTAGAGTCGGATTCGACTGGCTTTCGAGCAAGGGAACCTTTACCTTTACCTTTACCTAACTTAGGCTACAGCTGGAACACCAATGCTGTCTAATAACAGCTATTTCATGGATTAGATAGAAGATTGATCCTGTCAAGAACCGAAGTCTGGATCCCCCGGGTCACTCCTCTTTGTACCTGAGAGCAGCACCCAGACTGTTGCTGAGCTGCAGAAAAGATGCTGTTTAGCAGTATCTTATTTGTAAATCCTGAATAAATCTTAATAGATATTTTAAATAGGGGTCCACTTTACTTGTGTGCGCTCTCCTGGTGAACCCACTGATTTGGGTGCTGCCCTCAGGTACAAAGAGGAGTGACCCAGGGGGACCCAGGCTTCGGTTCTTGACAGGATCGCTTCCAGATCCCATCCAGGGGGAAGGGTGTGCTGTAAAGGCTGGCAACAGAGAAATGAGGCTCTGGCCCCTTCCAGAGTCTTCCTGAGGACCTTTCATCCCCTTTGCCTCAGGCTTGGGTGATGGCTGCAATGCTGGCCTCGGTTGCCCCTGGGCAAGTACACACACACACGAACAACACAGGAAGCTGCCTTTTACTGAACTGGGCCCTTGGTCTTTTGTCTACCCAGTCTGGCAGAGGCTCTCCAGGGTCTCAGGCGGGGGTCTTTCCCATCACCTATTGCCTAGTCCTTTTAATTGGGGATTCCGGGGATCGAACCTGGGACCTTCTGCGTGCCAAGCAGATGCTCTGCCAGTGAGCCACGGCCCCTCCCCAAGTAGCAAAAGAGGCCTCAAAACCATGTATTGCTATTCAGTGTTTTGATTCATGCCTCCTCCCAATGGCAGCAATTTGCACCTTTGGCACCCGTGAAAGAATTCTTACCCAGAAAGGCCACATTCTCGTAGTTTTCTCGCATGACTTCCCTGTACAGAGCTCTTTGTCCCGGATCCAGCAGGGCCCACTCTGCCACCGTGAAATACACGGCCACTTCCTCAAAGGAAAAGGGACCCTGGAAGAAAAAGCAGTTTCCCTCGTCAAGAAAGCATGCCAGGCAGAGACGGCACACGGGAAGGGAAGGGACAGGATGTAAGGGTTGGGATGGGTAAAGCGAACGGCCTTCAGAGGATCTCTTGCCCTGATACCTTGTAGAAACTGCAGGAGCAGAAGCCCCCCCCCCAAGAAAGGAAGAGGGACCCAGGCTGCCATACACACCCCTGGCTCATCTCCCCTACCTGGACTGGAGGGGCAGCAGCCGTTTCCACACCTCTGAAAAGACGACGGCTCAACAGCATCTCTTCACTGCCTCTACCTGAGACAAAGGAGAAAGGAAGGATGTTTGCTTGTTTTGTCCTTGCTGCGTGCACACACCCTTCTCAGTGTTGTGAAACCTTGCCCTGTGTACACTCAAGAAATTTCTTAAACACTTTTTACTGAATTTTGGGAGAGGCAGAAGAGAAGCACCAGCTCCCTATGACCCTCAGGGATTATAAATGCTGACTTCTGTGTGGGTGTGTATAGCCTGTTGGAGTGGTGTCTGTTTGAGGAATTTTGGGTTCTGTTTGTCTCTTTTGCCTGGGTGTATGGGGGAGGGGAGAGTCCTTTGTTCAGATCCAAAAATGTTTTATTCCAGGTATGGGGGAGGGGAGAGTCCTTTGTTTAGAGCCAAAAACTTTCTTTCCAGGTATGGGGGATAAGAGTCCTGTGTTTAGACCCAAAAACCTTTTTTCCCCTGGTATGGGAGGGAAGAGTCCTGGGTATAGAAGAAGAAGAAGAGAATAAGAGATTGGATTTATACCCCGCCCTTCACTACCCAAAGGTGTCTCAGAGCAGCTTACAAACGCCTTTCCCTTCCTCTCCCCACAACAGACACCCTGTGAGGTAGGCGGGGCTGAGAGAGCTCTTGACAGAAACTGCTCTTTTTTCAAGGACAGCTCTTATCAGAACTACGGCTTGCCCAAGGTCAGCCAGCCAGGTGCAAGTGGAGGAGAGGGGAAACGAACCCGGTTGTCCCAGATTAGAGCCCGCACACTTAACCAGGACACCAAACTGTAGCAGGGAAGAGGAGAAGGAGGAGGAGGAGATTGGATTCATACCCCATGGCCCTTCACTACCCAGAGGACTCTCAGAGCGACTGACAAACTCCTTCCCACAACAGACACCCTGTGAGGTAGGCGGGGCTGAGAGAGCTCTTGACAGAAGCTGCTCTTTTTTCAAGGACAGCTCTTATCAGAACTACGGCTTGCCCAAGGTCATCCAGCCAGGTGCAAGAGGAGGAGTGGGGAATCGAACCCGGTTCTCCCAGATTAGAGTCTGCGTACTTAACCACTACACCCAAAAATGTTTTATTCCAGGTATGGGGAGGGAGAAACTCCTTTGTTTGGACCCAAAAACTTTTTTTTTCAGGTATGGGGCAGAAGAGTCCTGGGTTTAGACTCAAAAATGTTTTATTCCAGTTATGGGGGGAATACTTTGTTTAGACCCAGAGAGAGGGAGAGGGAGAGGGAGAGAGAGAGAGAGAGAGAGAGAGACCATCCCATGGCACTTGGAGATGCCCCTTTCCAACAGATGGGGTGGGGAGAAATCTAACAGCACAGCTTGCATTCCTTATTAGTGAAAGGAAGCAAGAGCACAATAGCACCTTAATGGTTGACATAAATGTCACTTAACATATATGTCATTTGGTCAGGAAGGGCCAAGTGTGCCATAAAATGTAACATAAGGTACCAGAGATAATAGCAGGCATGATTGGATTAGGTGTGATATGTAGAGGTGTGGAGATATCAGCATTGGTAATGAGATAGAAAACCTAGGTCTTAATTTGGTACAGGACAAGTCAATCCAGGAGGATACAAAGAATAAATGGAAATAAGTCTGAAGAAGTGAGCAGGGACTCATAAAAGCACATACCCTACCACAATTTTGTTAGTCTTTAACGGTACTACCGGACTCTTATTCTTTCTACCACTATTAGAAACCACAACATTCAAAAACCAGTGGGGAAACATTTTAACCTTCCGGATATTCAGTTGCTGACCTAGGAAGAGCAGTTCTCTTACAAAGAGGAGATTAGAAAGAGAGACTGCTGAATTGCAACTGATCATGAAGCTCAAGACAATGCAACCTCCTGGACTAAATCGAGACCCAGGTTTCTTCTCTCTTTACCAATACCTACTATTGTCTTTTGGCATTTGAAATCACTTCACTCTCCAAGATATAAGGACAGATGGACTCAAATTCCAGCTGTATCTGAAGAAGCAAGCAGTGACTCATGAAAGCTCATGACCTCCCATAAATTTTGACAATCATTAAGGTGCTGCTATACTCCTTCCCCCCTTTCACTAATAAGGAATGCAAGCTGTGCTTTTAGGTTTCTCCCAGCCCCATCTGTTGGAAAGGGGGATCTCTCTCTAAGTGTCATGGGATGGTCTCTCCCTCTCTGGGTCTAAACTAAGGACTCCCCCCATCA